TAATTATAATTAATATGTTAAAGTCTACAGCAGAAAAGAGAAAAATATGCATGAACAGATGGGAAATTTCAGCAGAAAGATGGAAACTCTAAGAGTCAAATAGAAATGCTAGAAATCAAAAGCAAAAGATAAAACAAGAATGCCGTGTCACTGAGGGCCCATCATTAGATTCACTGCAGCCAGGAAAAAAACAAAAAACCAGGGCAGGTCAAAAGCAAGTACCTACAATGAAACACAAAGGAGGGTGGGAGGGAGAGACAGAGAGAGAGAGAAACAGAGCATCCGAGAACTGTGGAACAATACACAACAAGCTGACAAAAATGCAATTGGAATTCCAACATAAGACGGAAAAAGAATGAAGCAAAGAAATACTTTAAAAGACAACAGTCAAAACATTTCCAAACTTAATGAAGTATATCAAAACACAGATCAAGCTCAAAGAACTCCAAGCAGGACAAATACCAAAATATCACCTAAACACAACATATTTAAATCACTAAAAATTAAGGACAAAGATAAAATCTTGAAGGCAGTCCAAAAAAAAAGAACAAAAATCAAAGACTTCTCATCAGAAACTATGCAAGTTAAAAAGATTAATTTTCCTTTAAATTGCTGAAAGAAAAAGTAATTGTGAATATGATACCTAGCAAGAGATCTTCCCAAAGTGAAAGTTTGTTTTTCAAATAAGTCAAAACTAAGATAATTCATTGTTAAGTAGACCTGTGCTATAAGAGATATTAAAGGAGGTTTTTAAGCAGAAGTATAGGACTGGATAGTAATTTGAGTCTATATAAAGAAATAAAGAGTTTCCAAAATGGTAAAAGTTAGAGAAAATGTAAAAGGTATTTTTCTGCATTTTCATTCTTTCTAAAAGATAATGACAATCTAAAGCAAAAATGGTAATAATATATAGCTTACTAACATATGTATGGTCACTAACAATGCAGGTTGCTAACAATGTGGGTCACTAACAATGCAGGTTACTGAAATATGCACACTCACTAACATGTATCACTAACAATGTGGGTCACTAACATATGTATGGTCGCTAACAATGCAGGTTGCTAACAATGCGGGTCACTAACAATGCAGGTTACTGAAATATGCACACTCACTAACATGTATCACTAACAATGTGGGTCACTAACATATGTATGGTCGCTAACAATGCAGGTTGCTAACAATGTGGGTCACTAACAATGCAGGTTGCTAACATATGCACAGTCACTAACATGTATCACTAACAATGTGGGTCGCTAACATGTGTATGGTCACTAACAATGCAGGTTGCTAACAATGCGGGTCACTAACAATGCAGGTTGCTAACATATACACAGTCACGAACATGTATCTTCACTAACAATGTGGGTCACTAACATGTGTATGGTCGCTAACAATGCAGGTCATCAACCTTAACTGTGTGACAACAACATATGGAAGAGAAACCAGACATCGTTTTGCATGGAATTTTACACTGTACACAGAGTGGTGTGATACTGCTGGAAGGAACACTGGAAGACGTTAAAGGTATACACTGCAATCTCTAGGTCAAATATAAAACAACTTTAAAGAGAAATATACATAAACCAATATTGGAGTTAAAAACAGAATCGTAAAAAACATTAAGTTGCCCTGGCTGGCGCAGCTCAGTGGATTGAGCACGGGCTGCAAAACAAAGCATCGTAAGTTCAATTCCCAGTCAGGGCACATGCCTGGGTTGTGGGCCGGGTCCCCAGTGGGGGCCATGTGAGAGGCAACCACACATTGATGTTTCTCTCTCTCTCTCTCCCCCTCCTTTCCCCTTTCTAAAAATAAATAAATAAATAAAATCTTTAAAAAAAAATTGTGAATCCAAAAGCAGACAAAAAAAAAAAAAGGAAAATTGCATTAAAAACAGATGGAAGTAGAAAGCAACTAGTAAAAAGAGATTTAAATCCAACCATATCAATAACTATATTAAATATAAATAATCTGAACACATCAATTAGAAGATAGAGCTCTTTAGATTAAATAAAAAAGCAAGACCCATCTACATTTTGTCTATAAGAAAAAAAGCCCACTTTTATTAAATATTAAAAAAGAAATGCATTGAAAGTAAAAAGATGGAGACAGATCTACCCTGCAAACACTAATCAAAAGAGAGCTAGGGTAGGTACACTAACACAGACAAAAATTAGACTTCAGAACGAGAATCAGAGTTCAGAACAAACAATATCATCAGGAAGAAAGAGGGATCATAAGAGCGTCGATCCATCAAGAAGACAATCTAAATGTATTTGCATATGACATCAGATCTTCAAAACTCACCAAACAAAAGAAAGCCAGCCCACAAAATTACATGGAGACTTCAACAGCTCTCAGAAGTCATTAGCACAAGTAGATATAAAGTCAGCAAGAATACAGGAAACCTGAACACTATAACCAACTAGACCTGACCAACATTAATGCGAGTGCTCCACATGCTACCAGCGTCATGTGCATGGTTCCAAGTGCACACGGAACACTGACCACCACAGGCCATGTTCTGGATCATTAAAGCAAATTGGGACAAGCTGAAATAAACTGCAACTGCAAAGGATGTCTTCTGACCACAACAGAATTAAACTAAAAATCAATTACAGAAGGACATCTGGAAAATCCCCAAATATTGAGAAATTAACATATTTCTAAATAACCCGTAGATCAAAGAGGAACTCACAGGAGAAATTAGAAAATATTTTGAATGAAAATAAAAACACTGCATATCAAAAACTATGTGATCCATCTAAAACCATGATTACAGCCCTGGCCAGTGTGGCTCAGTTGGTTGGAGCATCATCCCGTAATTGAAAGGTTGTGGGTTCAATTCCCAGTCAGGGCACATATCTAGGTTTCAGGTTCCATCCCTGGTCCAGGAACATATAATCCCTGGTCCAAGTGCGTATGGGAGGCAACCAATCAACACTTCTCTCTCACATCGATGTTTCTCTCTCTCTAAAAGCAATGAAAAAATGTCCTTGGGAGAGGAGTAAGAATATAGCAAATAAATAAAGTCATGATTACAGAAAAATTTCTAACATTAAAAGCTTATTTTGGGTGGTTGTGGGGGTGGGGTAGGCAAAATGGTGAGGGTGTCAAAAGGTACAAATTTCCACTTAGAAATAAGTAAGTCTAGGGGATATAATGTACAGCATGTGACTACAGTTAATTATACTGTTTTGCATATTTGAAAGCTGCTAAGAGAATAGATCCTAAAGGTTCTCAACACAAGGAAAAAATATTTGTAGCTGTGTGGTGATGGATGTTACACAGACTTAGTGTGGTAATCATTTCACAATGTATGCAAATATCAAGTTATTATGTTGCACACCTGAAACTAATATAGTGTTTTATGTCAATTATATGTCAATTTTTTAAATGCTTGTTTTTTTAGAAGAGTAATGTCTCAAAATCAATTATCTAAATTGCCAGTTTAAAGAACTAGAAAAATAGCCCTGGCTATTTTTGCAAACCAAAAATAAAAACCTTCAAACCAAAGGGTCTCCTGTTCAATTCCCAGTCAGAGCACATGCCTGGGTTGCAGGCCAGGTCCTCAGTAGGGGGTGCTCGAGAAGCAACCACACATTGATGTTTCCCTCCCTCTTTCACCCTCCCTTCACCTCTCTAAAAATAAATAAATAAAATCTTTTAAAAAATAAAAAACTAGAAAAAGAACAAATCAATTCATAGTAAGCAAAAGGAAGGAAATATAAAAATATGTGCAAAAATTGAAAACAGAAAAATAATAAAGATCTCTGCAAAGGATGGATCTTTATGAAGATTAGTAATTGATAAACAACCTCTAACCAGACTCATCCAGAAAAGAAGAACACAAATTACCAACACAACGAAAGAGGGCTCATGAAAACAGATCCTATAGACATTAAAAGATCATTACAATTTCATCTCCATTAACTTGACAATTTAGGAAATAGATTAGTTCCTTCAAAGACACAAACTACCAAACCTCACTTGAGAAGAAATAAATACCTGAATAGTTCTGTATCACCTGTCAAAGAAACTGAATTCCTAGTTAAAAACCCGACAAAGAAATCTCCAGGCCCAGATGGCTTCACTGAGGAAGTCTATCAAAAATTAAAGGAAAAAAACATCAATTCTAAACAAACTACTCTAGAAATTTTTCCAATTCATTTTATGATGCCAGCTTGACCTCAATGCTAAAACTGGACAAAAAGCATCACTAGAAAACAACAGATCAATACCTCACATGACAGAGATGCAAAAATCCTCAAATATTAGCAAATCTCATCCAGTGCTATATTAAAAAAAAAAAAAAACCCACAACTCTTTTAAAGGGTTTAATCATTTTTTAATCCTGACCTGGGATTACTCCAAAAGTCAAGTAGCATTTGATTCCATTCTAAATTAAATCTTGATGTAAACACACAGTATTATGTCTGTAACTTTTCAAAGTTACTTTCAAAGAAAAGGCACTGCAGACAGTGGAATTTAGGAAATTAAGAGGAAGATTATGCAGAAGTTGAGACACTACAGAAGAAACCTTAGAGTTAAAAGTAATCTACTGCTTTATGAACACACACTCAACTAAAGGGTATGAACCTATCTTGGTTTCAAATAAAGAAATTTAGATCAAGAGCCCTGGCTGGTGGCTCAGTGGATTGAGTGCTGGCCTGAGAACCACAAGGCTGCAGATTCGATTCCCAGTCAAGGCAAATGCCTGGGTTGCAGGTTCAGTCCCTAGCTGGGGGAGTGCGAGAAGCAACCGATAAATGTTTCCCTTGCACACTGATGTTTCTCTCCCTTTCTCTCTCCCTTCCCTTCTCTCTAAAAAGTAAATAAAATCTTAAAAGAAAAAAAGGAGAAATCTAGATAAACAAAGTTACCAGCCTATACTAAAAAACTCAGTTCAGTTTCCTCAAGGTTTCCAAGATCACGACCCAAAGCATAATCCCTAATCTACCCTCTGAACACTGCATATCCAGTTCCGTGTAACTACTCACCTTCAATCTGGCTAGTATCTGGGCATGGTTTCTTCTTCGACTCTGGCTGTCCGGTTTTCTCATCAACATCCAGGAGAGGAATGTAGTCTGTTTTTCCAACAGTTTCTCCCACAACATCATCATAGGCCTCTGCCTCCAGGGTGGCTATAAAGTCCCGTTTAATCTCTCCCTCAATTTCTGGAGGTGGTTCTGTCAATGCGTCTGCAAGGCTGAGGTCGGCCATTTTGCACCACTGCGACTGCCTGGTCAAAGAGGGAAAATGATTGACATCATGAGTACTGCAAAGGGGAAAACATTCCTTGAAACCCTTGTCAGATTTTTAAAGAAACAACAACAACAACAACAACAAAAATCCAGACATTTAGATCTAGAAGAGACACGTTCATTTTACAGATTAGAAAATTAAAACGCCCAGTAACTGACAGTCTTTCCCAAGGTAAACACCTTCTTCTCACATCTCTGGGAGGCAAACAGGGCAAGTGCTACTCTGTTCTTTTCTTTAGTGAGAAACATCAAGCATAAAAAAAAAAAGAATCAATTTATCCTAGGTTATACCCAGTAAGACTCAAATCAGATAATTTCATTTCAAGCCTTATAACCCTTTCAAATAGTCCATATATCTTCATTTCCAAATCATACCCCAGAATAATTCTTAAAAGAAAAAGCAAAGAGAGGTCAGATTAGATTAGATTCCCATAAAAAAAGGCTACATTACTATCAGGCAAACGAAGTCACCTTTCTTGACCAAAGACTGAGCACGGGCCTCATCCCGGGTTAACTCCTGCTTGTTCACGATTCACTCGGGGACAGCCATGCCAACAGCACGCCACACTCAGCCCTACCGGCACGAAAAATACGGACACGTTCTCTGAATTCGCTGAGAGAGGTCGTTCCTCTCTGTGGTCATGTACATTACCGTCTTTACAGAATACCAGGTTCTCAATTTTCAAACATACCCTGAAATTAAGTAGTATAATCTACCGGCAAAACTGTAGGTGAATAGCCAAGAAAATACAGAAATAATGTAGTAAAAAGAGCCAAAGGGCCTGCGATAAATTAAACTCCCAATACATACCCAGCACAATAGAAAGTAAAAAGTCTGCAGGGTGGCATCTCTGCTTTTGAAGAACCTGTTTATGAACAGAATCTCCCAAGAGACTCCTAAGGGGGCATATGAGCTTGACCAGGTACACGCACATCAAACCGCAACCTTTCAGTTGTATGGAGTAATGGCTACTGCTTCCGCCTGCCCAGAAACGTGTTCTGTCTAATCTCCCCCGCCCCCCCCTTTACACCGAACAGGGTTAGACACATGACTGGAGTCTGGCCAATCAGAAGACAGGAAGACAGTGGCTGGAAAGGACCGTTTCACGACTACATCCTGGAAGGAAGGTCACGAGTGGCGCTGTTCGGTTGCCCTGGTTGTCTTCATGCTCAAGTCTAAGAGTGAGCGACCTTCCAATCTTCCCTTCGCCTAATTTAGGCAATCTGTTTCTGTTGACTAAAGAATCCCAACAAATACACATAGTCTTTCCCCAACCCAAACTTTTAAAAGACGAAATTTACTATGAATCAAGACACTTAACAGTCAAGCTCGCCTTTCAGACTCTCTCCTATTGTCCACCTGTCTCCGACGAATGTACTAAGGAAAAAGAAATACACACAGCAAGGAATACAGTCATTCTATCTTCATCTTTGTCCCCAAACACTCTCCTCCCACTTTGTCCATCCTGTGATACAAATACAAGAGTCATAATTTTTAATCATTATTTCTTCTTACTTCCCAAATAAGACCAAACTGTGAGACTACCAGTTACAAAATACGCACAAAGCAGATGCATTGAGAACCTTGAGAAATCAGAAGCGAACCCACCCCCAGTTCCCAAATCCAACAACTAAAAGGCTTTGCTGTGTGTTTCAATGTTGTAGAAAGTACAAGAGCGGTAGCACAGAGGCTTAAAGCACGTGGAGATAATAAACCAGACTAGCACAGACTGTAAGCTCAGTTCTACGACACAGAACAAAGCAGAGAGGGGATAAACCCAGGAGCAAGACTTACTTCTAGGCAAGTGGCCAGAAAAAAACTGTATGTCCAGGACAGAGAATGCTGTCGGGAAGGGGAGGGTCATATCTATATATGATGCTTGTTAAAAACATTCACCATATATATATATTTTGTTTTGTTTTGTTTTTGGAGAGGGAGGGGAAGGTACGGAGAAAGAGAGGGAGAGACATCTATGTGGGACAGAAACATCGATGGGTTGCCCCTCCTATGCACCCCAGCCAGGGACCAGGCCCGCAACCCAGGCATTCGCCCTGATCCGTTATCGAACCAGCAACCTTTTGCTCTGTGGGACGTCACCCAACCAACTGAGCCACACTGGCCAGGGCTCACTATTTAGGCTTTATATAATTGCAAGTTAAAATACTAAGATTTGGAAATACTAAATTTGTGTAGATTTCGAAATAAAATATTTTCAAAAGATTAATGGTTAAGTTTGAGCCTGCTTCCATGTGCCCATTTTACATCAGGCTTCTTATCTGAAATGCCTGACATAATTCCTCATCAAGATTTTCAAATGACGGTCTTTTCAAATACGAAAGGGCAGTAGAAAGAGCTTTTTCTCTGATTCGTTAAAGCAAATGTGATGTTTAAATTTCTCATGATTATGCTAATGAGATCCTAAACCATAATCTTTCTTAGTATCTAGTATTTCAAAATAATGAAGCTTGCTTCAGGCATACACAGCTGTTACACTACTAATTCTAATAAAATCTGATTTCTACAGAAGGGCTAAATGCACTAGTGACGCATTTACTTTCTCAAAGCTGAATTTCTGCTTTGCAGTCATAAACTCTGTCATCTACTCGAGGCCCGGTAACGTGATTAATTCATTTATATCTTTAAAATGTCAACTAAGTAAAGCCATTTTTTTAAAGTCAATAATTATCTTTCAATGGACATATAAAGAATCATTCCTGTATGAACTTGGAATTCTCTTTTTAGGTTGGTAAACTATGAAAATTTCGCCGTGGACAGCCAGCGCACTGCAGCTGCAAACGGCAGAGTTTTCGGGTCCCACTGGGTCACGTGTAAAGCTGAAAGCAGTGGGACTAGGGTGGCTGGGATTTCATCGGCTCACCATTTTGATAATGTTATTTAATGGCCAGAAGAGATCCACAGTACAATTTTTATGAGCTTCTCTCTAAATAATACAAAGGATTACTTCAATCTCAGGTTTTTAAGCATGAATTCTTTAATGCTAAAGTCTCTACCTTCTTATCACAGTAGCCATGATCACTATTATATACATTTAAGCAATGTGTCTGTAATATCTTGTTTTGAATTAGTCATTTATCACTTTAAATAGTTTATCCTCAGAATTTTATTTAGAAACTAAACACAGGTACTAAAGAGTATAGACTTATCTTGTAAGTCTTGTAATGAAAATTACAATGAAATTGTAATGAAAATTTTGATTCCCTGCCATATGGCAGTTTGTTAAATGTGTGTACTAATAACATTATTCAGAGTTGGACCTTTTTTATTGCCTTTGCTTCGTCAGTCCCAAAGTGTAATTTCCATGCATGCTGTAAAAATAATTCCGTAACTGTTTTGGTTTCAGTTATGAAAGCATCTGTAACTAGTTTCTTGAACTTGAGTATATACTGATATAACCAACACCATAAAAGAAGTTAGTCTCTTGTTCCAAAATTGCAGAGACTTAGAAAAGGAAGAACTGCTTACTTCATTTGGGTATTTGGCAGTGCGCTTCACGGTTTATTTGTCACTACTGTTTTATTTTAAATTTTGTCCTACCAATAAGACATTTAAGCTAAGAAAATTCAGGATTATCAGGACATATGAATCCAAATATAAGAAAACCCTCTTAATATTCTCTCTCATTAAAAATTTACACATTTTAGCCCTGGCTGGCATAGCTCAGTGGATTGAGCACGGGCTGCGAACCAAAGTATCCCAGGTTCGATTCCCAGTCAGGGCACATGCCTGGGTTGCAGGCCAGGTCCCCAGTAGGGGGCGCTCAAGAGGCGTCTGCACATTGATATTTCTCTCCCCCTCTTTCTTCCTCCCTTCCCCTCTCTAAAGATAAATACAATCTTTTTAAAAAATAAAACACTTTGGCTAATTGTTAACCCTAAAGCCAAAAATAAATACATAAATAAATAAAAAGTAATGACAGAAAAAATTAACAAAATAATTCTATTTAGCAATACTAAGTATTATTGTTACTTCAGATCCTGTCAAGGAAAATGCTGAAAAAATGACCCGTTGAAGAACTTTTTAAAAGCCTGCCTAATTCTCACATCAAAGAGTTCCATAAAAGTCATTGCTTTCCCCTTTTCTGCCTATAACCATTACTATCCGTTAGCCTATGAAAGCTGTCATGAACCAAAAACAAAAAAGAATGTCTATGACTAGTTCCATAATCAAGGAGAATTTGGAAGGACACCTGTACTCTCTGTAACACCACACAATAAGAGCCCAATAGATTTATTTTTGCTGGAAATACATGATTATGACACATTTCATGCAATCTACTCAAACTTTTTCTAATTCAGCACACAGGAAAATACAGAAAATCTAGCAATACATTTTAAACCTCATTTATCTGAGTGCAGATTCTTAAAGGGCAGCTTTTATGCACTGTAATCCTTCCCCCCAGCCCCTTGCCAACGCCCCCCCACCCCTGCCGCCACCTCCCAAACTACTTCCTGAGCCGACATGTGGTTCATGAACAGCAGCTTAAATTCAGCCTAAGAAGGTAAAAGGGATAGAAAAATAGATGGACAACGGGAAGGTCACGTGGCTCGGGGTGCACCCAGCCAGCCAGCCAGCCAGCATCCACAACCCGACACAGCTGGGCCGTTCTCTTCTTGTCACCACATATAAATAGAAGGATGATGTAAACACACACACAACACCTCCTTATGGAAAGTGACGCTGTAAAGGCAAGGCCGGCGCTGTGCTGCAAGTGCAAGGGCTGGCTCTTAGAAGGCTCTGGTTCTCAATGTATCCGAGAGAGCTCCCAACTATGTATTCTTTCTAAAATCTGCACAGTAAATTCCTCAAGTGCTCCACGGATCTGTTAAACTGGTTCTGCAAGTGCTCCAGAATTGATTTTAATAAATTAATAAGTTTCTTCCCACACTTCCATACTCATTTAAGGTCACCCGATACTCATTTATGCCTTAAAATGTTTATGGCTTGTGGACAAAAGGA